GGAAACCCCACTCCTCTGACTAACTACCTTACCAAATGCTTACTGACTCACTCAACCCTAGTCTTCGTGTAGAATTGTGTGAGGATTTTAAGCACAAAAGCGCAGTGACCCGGTTAACTCTCAGCAATTGAAAATCACCTAGGCAGTCATGGAGTGCACCCGAGCAAATGCTCTAGCCACTTACTACACAAAAATAACAAACTAAAACAAAAAAAGGTTCAATGGAGACAGCTTGTGTCTCATTGCTTATACCTAACAGGAATAAGGGTTCCAAACATTTGACAGCCTTTAACACAAAACAGCAACACCGGTGTGAGTACCATATGTGTTCGGGGTACCATATGTGTTCGGGGGCCGTCTCTTACCAATGACGTCACATATTGTACGCATTGTGATTGGCTGTACGGTAATTTACCCAAGGGTGCTCGGGGGCAAATCACATCTACAGATCATGACGAACCAAATTGAAGTATTCCTATACTCCTAGCGTGTGAAAATGTTTGTGAAAAACATGTAAAGAAAACATGAAAACGGCGCAATGGCTGTACGCCATTGGCTGTACGGCAACTCAAGAGGACCATCATACACGGTCAAATTCCGAACATTTAAACATAGCCTACACTTCATTCTTTACTTTGTCCGTTATTATATGTAGAAAATATTACTTTTTTCTCCGTCATGTTGTTTCCATAGCAACAACTTCAAACAGGAAGTTAACCTAATTTACATTTAAGACACTGCAACGTACGAAAGTAACAAAAACAATGTAAAATGTTTCTGAAAAACGTGGGCAAAACGGAGCAGTGGCTGCGATGCTAGCTGTGCGGCTAGTGGTTAGCATTTACAATGGAAATATACATCGAAACGTCATGTTTCAGTAAAAACAAGGCCCCACTGATCATCTACTCTCTGAGACGATTCCAGGGATGCCTGACTTGAGTTTCTAGCACCAGGGAAAGTGGACAAAGGTGCCCCAGATCAGCCCCTTACACAGGGTCTAGTGCTTGGCTTTGGGCATGAACATTCAGGAAACTCCCCTGAGTATTTTATTACGTATCTCAACTTTGGAGAGGAGTTGGGGGACAAACGACACATCACATCTCCACATCAAGCCGAAGCTAATTAGAATACTCTTTGCCTTGTACAGAAACACAACTGTGAGTAAAGCCAGTTACTTAAACATAGAGTAAGATCAACCTGACCTATTTTCCCCTACAAAACTCAGAATCAACCATCAAGCTGTGTGAACACTCCCTGACTGAAATAGGTCACCATGTCCTTTATCCAGCACCAGAAATTATCCCGGACGAGCCCCCACTTGTTACAACCTTCCTTAAGGCTGGAAACAAATAGGGAGGCCACACAGAAATAAATGCCAAATATATGTTTATTTAACAGGTTAATGAAAAATACCTCTGAGGAATTGTGTACGTAAGAATAAGAGTGTCAGTAGTGTCAGCAGTGTGTGGGTGTGTGGAAGTGTGCTGTAGGCATGTTGGAGGGTGCATCAAACCGAACACAGGCAGAAGTTGCTGCAGCAGGCCAGAATCAGAGACTGAGTTGCCTTCCAGCTGGGCAAGCCTTTATACCTTCTTGAGGCTCCGCCTCTAGATGGGCGGGCACAAACAGGACGACACTCCCAGTACCTGCCAGAGGACAGCAAGGCAGGGAGCACGGACAGGCAGAAGGGGGGAGGGGTCGTCACACTCAACAATAATACAATTAACTTAACCACTAGAGTTCATAGCAGAAGGCTTACAAGTCAGAGTAGAGAAATCACAGTTGTTACAAACAGCAATTTTGACGTGTCATCACAGGGTAAAACAACAGGAGGGATCCATAGATTAAGTACGGTCCAGTTCTATTTCGTGTGTCACAGTGAGCCAGATTTCACAACAACAGGGCTCTGGCCCAACGGAATGGAACAGGGCCATAACAAGTGTTATTAATGTGTTTACCCTGCCATGACAAGAGCTAAATGGCTGCTTTGACAATTTCCTGAAAATAAATATGCACAGACCCTGAAACTAAATGGAATTCAGTCGTCATTCTGCCAAGAGTTTCTGTATAAAACAATAATCCCAATACATTTTTCTCCTATAAGGTACTGCAATATTAAAAACAGTGAACATGGATGATTTCACAAACACAGATGTTAGTCATCAACACCTTTTGCAATCTAATTGAATGATATTTAAAATTCATCTTAAAGGGGCCCTATTATGCTAAATTCCAGTTTTCCTATTTGAATTTGTTGCCTCTACTGTGACATGTCTCCATGCTTTAATGTTCAAAAAGCTCTTTATTTTTCTCATACTGCCTGTGCTGCAGCACCTCTTTTCACCCTCTGTCTGAAACCAGAGCCCAGTCTGCTCTGATTGGTTAGCTGGTTGTGATT